ATTGATTAAAATTTGAATGATTTTTATTAGAAGCAATTATTAATTTTTATATTGAGGTACAAATCTTTTTGCACCGATCCATAATTTAAGTAATTCTTTTATATTTAGTTTAAAAATAAAAGTTATATATATAAAATATTCTATTCTAAGTATAAAGTAAAAGATAAAGTTAAATATCAAGCTTTATAAAATCTTGCCTAAAGATAATATAACAAGTATGTGATGCTTATTTGTCATCTGTTACAATATGTTGCAACTTTAAAATTTTATAAGTTGCAACTAGTTACAATTAGATGATACTTTATTTGTCATCATGTTGCAATAGTTGAGGAGCTATCTTTAATCTTGTCTATATTTTATATAATAGAGCTAATATCTTTAATATAAATTATATTATATTATAATAGATTCTAAAAAAATAATATCATGTATTTTTAATTTGTAAATCAGAGATCAATATAGAAATATTTCAGAGAAATGACATAGTCTCATAAAATATATATATTTAATAATAGAAAAATAATTAGTTTATTAATCAAGATTAATAATATATTATTCTATATCTGAAATAATCATTATATAATCTATTTTAGAAGTAGAATCTATTTTAGATATACTATAAGTATATAATTAATTTTTTGATTTAAAAAATAAAAGAGTAAGTCTAAAAGATTTATAGTTTATTTAGTAAGATTAGAATTAATAAAATTAAGTAGATTCAGATTTTTATAATAATAATCTTAACTAGTATTTTTAAAAATGATATAATTATATTTTGATTAAGCTTTTATTTTTATAAAACTATTTATTATATGATATTATAATATTATATTATGATTTATGCAAAAAATTCTAAAATATAATTAATAAAAAATTTATTTATTTTTTATATTAAATTTATAAAATATAAAATGATATAAATTATATTATAAATAATATATTAAATATATCATGATTATTAATTAGCTAATAAAATCTTATATATAAAATAATACATAAATACATAATCTAAATTTATATCTTTGCTATTATCTTAATTTTTTTTTATTTAGATTAAAAATCTGTATGAATTGAGTATGAATCCTTTTTTATTCTTTTATAAGATTATTAAGCTATATAATATTTAAACTATTTTTTAGTATATTATAATATAATAACTCTTCATCAACTAGCCTATCCTAATCTTTTAAAAATTTATAATATTTTCTAATATCTTTATTTCTTTTTATTCCTCTATAATAAAATTATATATTTCTCTTTAAATCAATATAAAAGTAACTCATAATTTATCTATTTTTCTCAGTTTTTGTAATAACTAAAATTTTCTTGAAATTTATTTTATGTTTGATAATATATTAATAAAAATAGATTTTATTTAGATCAGTCTTAAGAATTGAAAAAATATAAATTTTTTTTTGATTAATACAAAAAGAATAGTTAAGAAAATAGTAATTATTTTTATCTAAACAATTTTAGTTATCCTATATATCTAAATATATATATATTTTATTACATATCAGATATTTAACTTCTAAATTAATATATTTAAATATATCTTAATACTATATATTAGAATTAATATATATCAAGAAAGAAAAATATTTATATATTATTTTATAAATTATATTTTTTTCTTTTAGAAATTTAGAAATTTTAATAATATGATCTTATAAAAGATAATTATTAATCTTTTTAATTTAAGAGAATTTAGAAATTTCAGAGTTTAACTAGAAATTAAGTTTAATTTTTTTCTTATATCTTATATAAAATCTAGAATAAATTTTATTTAACAAAATGCTTAACAATTCTATTAATTTAACTTTCTACTTCAAATATTTGAGAGCTAATATTTTTTTTAATATTTATATATATATTCATATTTTTATTTTATATAATTCTTACTCTTTAAATTAAGAGTAAAAATAATCAACAAAAAATAATATGTATCTTTATACTAGTTCTATTATATATTAGAGAAATATTAAATAAATTATATAAATTTGAAACTTTATATTTTATATATTAATATAAGATAAAGTTTATATTATTATCTCAACTTCAATTTCATATTATTTATATTTAATATAATAAAATTCAATTTCATATCTCTCTTCTATATTATCTTTATTATGATTTAACTTATATAATAAATATAATAATTCATTAATAATTTTATAATAATCTTTATTTTTACTATTATTATCTTGATATAAATTAGGATATTAATCTAATATCTTATTATAAAAATAAATATGATTATAAGTTAAATTAGATTAAGATATAAATATTATATTTATTAATATATTTATCTCAGCTGAATAATTAGAGATATAACTTAAAGAAATAGATAATACTATTTTTATCTTAGTATTTAATTTTTTTGTGACAGATTTATTAAGAATTTGAGATTTGATAAAAATATTCAAACTGATAATATGTGATAAGTCAGAATTTTTCTTATTACTTTATGAATTTGATTTACAAAGTTATAATATCATATAAATACTATAATCAAAGAATATATTATTTATAATATATTAGATATCTTCATATAATATTTTTGAGATAGAATTAGTAAAAAAAGAATGAATTTATTTTATTTTATTCATACCTATTACATTAAAAAGTATATAAATCTTCTTGATTCTTTTTCATAATAGTATATTAAAAATACTTGCAGAAAGCTGAGCTTTAACTTTTATATTTAGAATTCTACTAACTGTATTAGATTTCAGATCAATCTGTTTTTCAGATATGATTTTATCTCATCTTTGAATTAAAGATGTCATTTTAATTAATTATGACTTGTAATAATTAATTAGAAAATTATAATTAATTACAATAGTTAATCAGAAAATTATGACTAAATTGTAATATTATCTTTACTTTGAATAAGAGCTTTTTCAAATTAACAATAATAAAAAATAGCTTTTTAAATTACATGATTAGCAAGAATTATGATATTACAAAGTTTTTTATACAAAAGAGAAAAGATTAATATTTTCATTTTTACTTACAGCTTCATATTATTTTCTCTAGATAAATATCTAAAGAATTTGAGTTTGGCTCATCTATAATATTGGAATAATTGGTACTTGAATCCAATTCTCTTTGAATAGATACTGAAGATATTAAATCATCTAGGATTACTTTAGTAATCACCCTCTCAGACACTTTCTGAATAAATTTTTTTCTTTGTTTTTTCTGCTTTTTCTTACAAAGTGCCCTTTTATCAACTGATATCTGCTTATCTTTTTCAGAGAAAACAGTCTTCATTTTCACAAGCTTCTCCTCACTTTCTTTGCCTAATTTCATCACTAACTCTTTTCTTATTCACCTCATCCAGAAAAGAGTTCATGATCTTTTTCTCTGATGACTTTGAATTGGCAGGTACTATTTTATTTGCTACTATGGAGTCTGGTATGTCTGTATATTTTTGAGAGAGGAATCCTTTCACGGATACCTAGAATCTTCTTCCAACTTTGTAACTCTAACCTTAAGCTCAGCATTCTCGGCATCATGCCTGAATTTTCAACATCACGTCTAGTATTCTCGACGGTAGTATCTATTCTAGCCTTTTCTAATTCCTCGATTCTATTTCTGAGCTCGGCCCTTAGCTTTGTAATCTCACCCTTGGCTTCGTCATATTTGGTCTTAAACTCAGCGTTCTCAGCCATAAGTCTGGCATTTTCTTGTCTAAGTGAGTCAATCTCAGATGTCATTTTCGAAATAATTTTATACACTGTATATTTACATTCAAAATATTCACGTGATTCCACTTTGTGAATTTAGTTCACGAAGTTTTGCTAAGAAAAAAATTTACTAATATGGCAGATAAATAAATATTAATATAAAAATATATAGCTCAATTGTGATCTCAAGAATAGTATTAGGAAAACGGTAGACAACTAGTCGTTTTCGTTATTTTTACTGACCGAGTCGGTCACGCGATTATGTATGCAAAATCAGCTTCATTGGTTTATTAGTTTGAAATTACGTCACGTCAATACATAGAAAAAATTAGCATTTACATCAAGATTAAAAAGATAAAAAAATTTTATTTTCCAATTATTAATGATATTCTTTACATGACATAATATTCCACCAACATAGGTCATCTCTTATTTCCGAAATACATTAATCAATTGTTCTCCCTAGTCTTATCCTAGAGGCTTACTAAAGATGTTATTTCTATTGATTTCAAATCTATTAGTAAAAATTTAACAAGAGAAAAAAGACTAAACGAAAATAAAGATATACTATCCACTTTTACTTTATGTTAAAGGTCAGTCAGTTTTAAGTGTGGTGGGTGTACTAGCAGTTGGACGTAGCCAATCTTTATAATTTGTTTGAAGTGGTGTAGTACAGGATCTCTCGCCCAACACTTCTACCGCAACATCCTACAAGTTTTAAATTAGAATGAAGTTTACAAATATCGAGATATTGAAAACACTGACCCGAATACTCATTAAAATTTGGTAAAGGATCATAATTTGCTCTAGATCTCTAGCAGTTTTCGGAATAGTACATGACGCCACTTCTACCAATAGATATATTCCGGAAGAATGTAATTTCATAACACACACAGTCATTTTAAAGCCATTAATAAATATTATGATTCGTTTCGCCTCATATGGTTGTATATTTCGCTGATTAATATCATAGTCTATGGCATCTTTCGCATGTATAGCACCACGGTAGATGTCCCAGTAAACTTTAGGTTCTTCATTTTGACGTTTGGGCTGGTTACTTCACCAAATACAGCTGAACGAGTTCCATTTTTATTATTCAGCTTGTAATCTGGTATTCGACCACGATGGCCTCGACGCAATTTAGATGCATTAGATGCCACATCAATCCTAAAAATAACAACTTCTAAAAAATTAAATATAAAATGTCATACCATGAATGCGTGGTTGTATAATTAAAATAATGTATTGTTCTATTAAACATCGGTGCTATGTAATCCATCATGTACGTTCCCTCCGTCAATTCATTCGTGTCTGTTGAGGGATCCAACAGTACACATTCTTCCAAAAGTCTAAAAAATGCTCTGTTTAGTAGCCTATCCCTGAATTGGTTCCCGACATATTGCTTTAGAAATCTTTCAATCTCTTCCAGACTATCTTGTTGATAATCCTAATAAACGCAATATGATAATCCATGAAAATGATTTATTTTGAACACATTATAATATAAAACTTAATTCGCAAACCTTTTTATTTTCTCGCACAAACTCCTTTACTCCATTTGGAATTTCTATCATCTTGAACTCTGAGATTACGCGTGATTGAATATCGGCAATCTCATCTGCTGTTAGGAAGCCATTATATACCTGCTCGTTTTCTTTTTTAAAATAAAAGATTGAAGAAGCAACAAGAATACAGTGTATGTTCCGCTTTGATGGGTACTGAATTCCATGATCTAATTGATTAAGGCTGTGTTGTTGCCATTTCAATAGCTTAACTTCCCAGCCATCTGAAATTTTTTCAGTTTCTGTGACCATCTTTCGGATTGTTGATAATTCCGAAGGTTCAAATAATAACACACACTCTTCCTATAAATAAACAAATTCACTATCGGATTCATCTCTCCTTCACATGATCACTGTATATTATATAACAATATATCACATACCTCAAATTCTTCGTCATCGGTTTCTGATTCAAAATATGATATTCTCTGAATGGGCACACAAAATAAATTCATAAAGTTTTGTAAATAAAAACAACAAAAGAAATTTAATATCTGATAGTGTTGTTACCTTTTTTGCCCATCTTTGAGTTTGACCCCCACAATTGTCCTAAGGTGTTAAATTTAAAATTATTCGCTCTGCTGATTTCAAACCTCTAGTTAAAAAAATGTGAATAGATACCTCTCCTTGTTCCTCTCTGAGTATATTTGTATTCGCACCGAAAGTTTTGGTGTTGATTATCCCTCCATAGATAGTTCCAGTGTTCGAAATTTCCGTATATGTCGGTTGATGAACATGAATTTGCTTTCGTGAGCGCTCTTGTTCCCATTGTCTAGCCATTATACGATCAGGTCGAGGATCCTGGCATTGAAGATTCAGGAAGTTAATAATACTCTTAGTACGCCCAATTCACTATCCTACTGTATTTTCCATCCCATCTGAATATCAGGCAACCTAATAAGCCACCTGTATCCAGTGGGTCCAGTGTTGGTTAAGCTAGTAGCCTTTTGACATCAAGCAACCTAGTAAGTTCCCTGTGCTCCAACACTGGTCTTGTGACTCAGCTAATAGCCTTGAATGACTGACAACCTAGTAAGTCTCAGCCACGCCACTTTTTTCACCTGTGTTCCAATAAAAAAAGTCTACTTGCATTTCTGTATCTATCGATAAGCTCCTTGCTTTTTTCTGCCGGTTACCTTGTTCACGATTAACCATTGTCTCTAGGCATTTTAAATAATAGTCTATCTTGATATCGAATGGCTCCACATCACAATAGTTTAAAAATCCCAGGATGTTCCACTCAGCGTGCCTACGATTAAAATATTTATACGCTTGGTTTTCTGACATTATGAGCTGAAAAAAAAAGATAATAATGGCGTATGGGTATTTATACTTTTGTTTTCAAAATAAAGTTATGCATAACCAAGGTCGCTCTCAACAAGCAAATTAGGGGGATGGCTAACGCATGAAATCCAAGAGAGACCGTCCCATATTTGGAAATCGTTACACAATTGACGAAGAAATTTTTTTTATACACTTTACAGTA